CGGCCGCCAAAGGGGCTGGGCCCGCCGCCGCGGCGAGCCAGGACGCGGACGGAGGCGCGGCGGGGCGCTGCCGCAGCGCGGGTTGGCGGCTTGGGAGCGGCGGAGCGGCGGGCGGCGCCAGCGCTGGCGGCGGTGCCCATTGCGTGCATGGCTGGCGGTCAGCACGTATATGTATGAGAATGACAGGATGGGGCGCGCTGCCGGTTGCTGATGGCGTCTCTAGGCGCTGGTGCGCCTGGACCGAAGCAGTGAGGTCGTGTAGGGACAAGCGTATGTGATGCCAACGGCAGGACCGATACCGTACACTGATATCTCGATTTGTACCGCATAGCTGAGGGCACATTCGCAAGCTTGCCGTCGGCACACCCGACTGGTGCCGCGCTGCTCTCCCGGATACGTAGAGGCACGCTGTGCGTGCGCCCAAGCCCAGTCCAGTGATACGTCTTGTTTCTTGCAATCAGGTCCAGCGCACACTCTGCCGCGAAAGCCACGCTGCTGAGCACCATTGAGGCCGAGAGCACCCCGTCCACCACAATCCCACCGTTCACAGACTTCGATAGCCAAAACGACAATTGAAATGGCTAACCAGCTTATGCGGCAGCAGGCCTCCAGCCTGACTGCCTCCAGCAGGAATCCGTCGATCAGCACTAGATCGCTGCTGAGCAGGCCCGCTCTGCGCGCAGCGCCCGTGGCTCTCAAGGGTGAGTGTCGCAAAGCAACTCTGGATCCAGACATTCTATGCATCCCGGACGGGCAGGCGCCACCTGCGCCACCGTCGTCCGCGCTTGCGTGGGTGGCACGGTCTGTGCCCGCCTGGCCGCCCGCTCGACGCTTCCACCCATCCCCTCTCGGCTGCCAACCCGCACGCATGCCTCGCAGGCGCCGGTCGCGCACCGCGGGTGGTGTGTTCTGCACAGGAGACCGAGGAGAAGGCGGCGAGCGGCGATGCGGGCGTGCGGCAGATGCTGGGCATGAAGGGCGCTTCAGAGGAGACTGACCTGTTCAAGATTAGGGTGCAGCTTACTAAGCCCGTCACATGGGTGCCCCTCATCTGGGGTGAGCCAGCGACGCAGGGAAATTTGGGGTTTGGCGGACAAGGGGAAGGGGGGGTGACAATCTTGAGACGTGAGATGCGTAATCCCTGCGCTTCTGTCTACAGGACTGGCAGCATCATATTCTTGGAGCTCTATGGCCCAGATGCCGTGCAACTGACGTGTCGACAGGCACGCACAGAAAACCACATTCATTTGCACCTGTGGCTTTGTGAGGCCACGCCGCAACATCAACACATGCCGACATGCGCGTGCCCGCACCAACCAACCGCCCGTCAGGCGTGGTGTGCGGCGCGGCGGCGAGCGGCAACTACGTCTGGAACGACCCCACAGACGTCGCGAAGCTGCTCACGTGCTGCATGATGAGCGGCCCGTTCCTGACCGGCTACACGCAGACCATCAACGATTACTACGACCGGGAGATCGACGCCATCAACGAGCCCTACAGGCCCATCCCCTCAGGTGGGCTGTGTGGTGATCTGAGATCTGCCACGTCAGTTGTGCAGTTCGCGGCCTGGGGGAAAGCCGAGTAGGATTGGGCGAGGAGGCGCAAGCTTGATACGTGACACGTCTCGATGCGTATGCTTGCATGTCAACCGCTTGCGATCAACCGACTGGCCTGGCTCCCGCGCCTTCAACCAGCTGCCTGCACCCCTTGCACATCACCCGCCCCCACCCTCGTCACACGCACCGCCCGCCCTCGCCCCCGTCCCCCAGGCAAGATTACTGAGGAGCAGGTGGTGACTCAGTTCCTGGCGCTGCTGGCCGGCGGCCTGGGCACCGCCGCGCTGCTGGACGTGTGGGCCGGCCACGAGACGCCCATCCTGTTTGGCCTGGCTGTGTTTGGCTCGTTCATCTCTTACATCTACAGGTGTGATGACTCTCAGGGATGGCAGCGGGGGTGCAGTGGTCGTGACAGCGGCGACATGGCGCGCCGGATTGGCACAGCCGCAGCAGCAGTCGGAACGTGGCCGGGGCAGGGTGGCAGTGTCACCAGGCGCTGCGATGGTGGCAGCGGTGGGTGTGGTTGATTGATCAACCCACTTTCTATTTGTGTCTACAGTTTTGGCTCTGCGTGGACGGCGAGTGCCAGCAGCGTGACAGGCTGCTTCAGGACATGCGTTGCAGTGTGTATTCCTGAGAGTCAGAGCGACATCGCACCTGCCCCTCTGCCCTGCCCTGCGCAGCGCGCCGCCGCTGAAGCTGAAGCAGAGCGGCTGGGCAGGCAACTACGCCCTCGGCAGCAGCTACATTGCCCTGCCCTGGTGGGCTGGTCAGGTGAGGTCTCGCGCCTTTGCACCGCGCCATGGCTCACCGCAGCCCCACCATCGCAATAACTGCAAAATTTCGGTTTGCAAGTTCCCAATGTGGCCGGCGGCGTGTGAACAGGTTGCACCAATTCAGTGCACGCAGCGCATCACCAAGCGTCACCCTGCCCCCCAACCCCCCCATGATGACGGCGGCCAGGCGCTGTTCGGCACCCTGTCTGCTGACGTCATGGTGCTGACCGTGCTCTACTCCCTGGCCGGCCTGGGCATCGCCATCGTCAACGACTTCAAGTCCATCGAGGTGGGCTCAACTGCGCGGGGCCTGCTTGTCCTCCAAAGCTCTCACAGCCCAGCCCCCCCCCCCTGGCTTGGTCCTGGAGCCACACGAGACCGCGGCTTGGGAGGGGTGCGGGGGCCACGCGAGCTCGTGCACACAGTGCCCTGGGACCGCAGCCCTCCCGCCCCCGCCTGGCTCCGTCCCTCGCCCCCTTGCAGCACCCCAGCTCTTGTCCTGGCTCTCCTTGGTCCCCTGCCTCACGCTCAACTTCAAACCCTTCCTGTTCCCAATCGCTCCTGCTCAACCCCTCCGCCCACCACCCGCGCACCCCCTCCACTCACACGACCGCCAGGGCGACCGCGCGATGGGCCTGCAGTCGCTGCCCGTGGCGTTTGGCGTGGACACCGCCAAGTGGATCTGCGTGTCCACCATCGACGTGACGCAGCTGGGGGTGGCGGCCTACCTGGCCTTTGGGCTGCACGAGACCACCTACGCCGCAGTGCTGCTCGGACTCATCCTGCCGCAGGTGCGCATGCGCGCGCATGCGTGTGTGTGTGTGTGTGTGTGTGTGTGTGTGTGTGTGTGTGTGTGTGTGTGCGCGTGTGCACGTGCTGGCACGTGTGTATGTACACGCAAGCGCGTGTGTGCATGTGCGCCCGATAATGTCTGTGAATGTGTGCGTAGGCGTGCATGGACAGGAATGGTTCTTCAGGCGGCGCCGGCCCCCAGGCTGTGCGCTGACGCGATGGGGGGGGGGGTGCATCCCCTTGTCAGCTTGGTGTGCGCTTGGTGTGCCCATCAATCCCCGCCCCCGGGCTGCCGCAGCTCATTTCGTCCCTAGCCAGGTGCCCCAGGCGCCCGGCAGATCCCGCATTGTCCGCCAC